CTCTTTCCTTAGATAATTTCCTTAGGATATTGATCTAGATAGACCCTTAGTCTGACAGGTGATGGGTTTTGATCTTTTGGGTTAGCATGACACTTAACTGCATAATGCTTTCTCACCTCTGCTGAGTTGTGTTGGGACAGAGGACTAAATTAGGCCTTGGAAACAGCTTTATTGGTATAGCGTAAAGCCATCAGTTGCATGGCACAGAAAGACAAAGAGCAGCCTGGTTGTCCTTGCAGCATGCCTCCACCTTCCTGAGCAGTCCTGTGCTACCTGCAACTCTGCCAGGTTTGGGGCTGGTGCGGTGAGACTCAGAAGGCTGCAAGGACAGTAATGAGACATGGTTGCTGCGGGCTGCCTGGGGCCAAGAACTGAGATAGCAGCAAGTGGCCTGTTCTCCTGACAGGCTATTAATCCTGCCAGTGAGGGGACAGGGCCTTATCCCACTGAAGGGCAGGTGGGATATGGCAAGAGTGATCTGTGACTGTGCTGTGAGTGCTTGGGACAGCCAGGTGTCTGCAGGAAAGCAGGACAAAATTGCTCTTTAGCTTCTGGCCTAGAGTCATGATCTGGAAAAACACTGTCTCCTCCTGCCAAATCTCAGCTGCATCTGGACTTGGGTTTGCCATGCACTCTCAGCTTCTCTCTCCTTTCTCTCTGACATGACCCGGCTGGCTGCAGGATGTGGAGATCCGGTCCAATGCTGCTGCTTACCTACCCCAGATCACCCAACTCCTCAACAACGTCCCCCGTGAGATGCTGCTGCTGCTGAAGACCAATGACTTGCTAAGAGGGATTGAGTCAGCCCTGCATACACGGGCCAGTGCCAGCTCCTTCCTCAACATGTCTCGCTGCTGCATCAGAGCTGTTTCCACGTGAGTCTCTTCTCCAGGCACCAGAGGCCAGACATGGAGCAGCTGGGGCTGGCTTTCCCTGGGGGCTAGGAGCCGAGGAGGATCCCAGGGCCAGCAGGCCAGCCAGGGCCCAGTCCCACAGTAGCTGACCATGGCAAGCAGGGCAGACCCTGAGATTGTGGGAGGTCCAAGGTCAAACCAGAAAGTCGATCTGTAGATCAGGTCCAGTGGTTGTCAGGCAGGTCCATGGTGAGAAGGGTTGAGGTCAAGCCAAGAGGTCAGTATGTGAGTTAAGGTCCAGGTCAAGGGGCTTCGCAGCTGAGCATGAACTGGAGATCATGACTCCTCCAGTGTAGCTCAGACAGGGACTGAAGGTGGAGGCCTGAGATTAACTGGAGATCCTGGGCCTATGAGCAGAGGGTTGGGGGAGGTCCCGGGCTAGTCAGGGCCATGAAGGTTTATTGGAGCCCCCCCCTCAGGGCCCTGACAAGGCCTAACTTGATCTCTTGACCTCTTACTCTTAGCTGTGGACCTCTCCTCCTCATTAGCACATCTGCTGTGGTCCTGCCCCTGCTCAATTAAATGTCTCAGGCTCTGTTTGTGGTGTTCTCATGCCCATCGGCCTCTCCAGAGGACAGGTTTGTCACCCTGGGGCTGGGGACCAGGATGGACTTGGAGCCCTTAGGGTAAGGGTTTAGGGTTTGGCCCCTCCAGAGGAGAGGAAGGCTCTTCCTACCCATTGTAGGCATCACCACTGGGAAGTATTTGTGGGTAAGAAAGATCTGCAAGTTCACTGCTGCCAGTTTTTGCAGCCTGATTGAGGGGCTAGGGATGACTGTGAAGATCAGGCTGATGTTTAAAAGCCAGGAACAGGAGTTGTGCTAGTGATTTCCATCTGTGAGTCTTATGAGTCAATGCACTTCTGCCTCAGATTCCTCCTCCTTGCAGAAGAAATAACAGTTATTTCTCTGGCTGATGAGGGACCTACGAAGCCCAGTTAACCTCTTCTTCTAAAGAAAGGTGGGAATTACTTTTCCTGGAATCAGTGTGTCAGGATTGCTGGACTCTTACGAGTGTGCTACCAGGAAGGCCTACAGGGGTGTGCACCTGCCCCTGCTAGCTGAAGTGAAGCTGGGTGTAGAAGCAGAGGCTGCCATGGCCCAGGGTTACCATGCACAGTGGGGAGAGAACTGGGCTCACAAGGGAGCAGGCTGTCTCTTCTGCCAGATTCGTGCTAGGAAGGCAGTCCTCAGCTCCACAGGGACTTTACTTGAAGAAAATCCCTACTCCCAAGGGTCTGCACTGATGGTGATTCTCCAGAGGTGGGATGTTCCCCTCCCCTGGGGAGGATCCTGCTGGATCTAATGCAGCTGTTTCTCTCATTCTAGGTACCAGAGGAGCAAGAGCCACTCATTTTACAGGAGGGCCCAGATCTCACTCACAGAAGCCCTGAGCCTGTGGCAGATCAACTTGTATGAACTCTTCCTGTGGCTGAAAGGGTCCCAGCTGGGGAACTGGGTCATTGCTCTCCTGAGCCGGGTGCACCATTCCACGTACTGACATGAACTGGTGGGAGAGGCCCAGGTGCTTCCCCCCTCCTTTCTGATCTCTACAGCACATTTGCCTTTCTGACTGTTTCTGTCTATTCTGTGGGCTATTTTTGGGTCTTGTTCCACGTTACATGCTGCACTGTCCTTGCCTATTACAGCATTAGCTTTCTCTGTGGCGCTGAGAGGTGGATTCGGTACCAGAGCTCTGCTGTTTCATGGTTTAGGAAAAGGAGGCGTGGGATACCGTGTGCCAGGAAGGGCAGGGTACTTTCTTTCCCTGTCTGAGCAGGGGGAATTCCACTCAGATTCCAGTGGGACTGCACTGGAAGCAAAAGCCTCTTCTTGGCTCTTTCTTAAACAATCTTACAGAATTTAAAAGAATTCTAACCCTGTCTAAAACACCCCAAAACACTTCTCAGACCCTCAGAGAGAGGTGGTATGTCCCTTTAAATCCAGCAGAGTTTATGTTAGTTTTTGCAGTCTCTTTAGTCTGATTTCTCTTCAGGTGTGAAAAGATTTTCTCAGAGGAATGAGACCTTGTGGAGAGCTGGCAGTAGGGCTTCCTCTCCCAGCCCCCACTTCCTCTCCCAGGGAAAGGGGACCCTAATGGTGAGAGTGGTGGACTGTGAGTCCAGCTTTCTGAGGTTTGTCTCCAGTCCTGTCAGCAAGTGCCTCTGTGTTTTTGGATTTTTCCTGGCCTGTTTCCTTGCAAGTGAAATGGGGGAAAGGGACAGTGGTCCTGCCTCTTTTCTGAAATTCAGGGAAGGCAGGAGGAATGACAGCTCAGGGCTCTGAAACTGCTGGTAATGTATGTGTACTGTATGTATGTGTACTGTACAGTACTGCCACACAGCAAAATAAATGTGTTGTATCAAAGACCTTTGGGAGAGGGATGCTTGGCTGTGCGCTCAGCGTGACATTTGGGCCTCTAACCTCAGTCCTGTTTCCATTTCTCCATCGAGTGAGTGATGCCAGGCAGCACTGTTAACTCCTTGCAATCCAGATGAAATGGCCTCTTGATCTCTCCTCTTTCCAAGAGGTTTGTTCCACATCTGGGTCCTCTGGTGCTGCATTAGATGTGTGTTGGGACGGGATGGAGGAGTGGGCATCATTCTGCTGGGAGGACGCACCACTCCTTGCGGTGCACCCCGATGCATGCTGAGCCTGTCTCCTCCCTGCCTGCGGGAGCACGCTGCAGTGCATCTGTGAGATGTCACCATCCCCGTGCCTGAGCATTTAGCCTCATCACTGCCTGTGATGCTCCTGCCTCAGACAAAAATCTGCCACTTGCTCGGTGGTGCAAATGACAGGTCTGATGGCTCTGACTGCAGCTATGGGACGGGTACCAGGAAGTCTCACCCAGAGGCCTCCTTTATGTGAGACGTATTTGGGATCCTGCGAGACATCCCTGCTGCTTGTGAAGATTCCTGTAGCCAGGAAGGGTGGATGGAGACTGCTCAAATCATTTCAGCTTTCTCATAAACTGTCTTGTGAAAGCAGACACGAAAGACAGGATGGGAGCATCCCTCTGCTGCCAACAAGCTTGCTAAGCTGAGGGTCGTTACTCAAGTACCAGGCTGTGCCTCAGAGCAGGCCACAAGAAGAGTGTAAGCTCTTCCAGTTTGCATGCAGTTTCCCAGCTTGCGCGGGTGTGAGATGCCACCTTGCAGTGAGTCCATTTGCCTGGGCAGGGAGGCAGGGGGCAGAGAGCGGGTAAGTGTGTGTGTCAGTGCTTGCGGAACCAATTCTCTTGCTGGCTGTGTGGGAGAGGGAAGGGATGCAATCCAGAAAAGGTACCTGACTGCAGGTGTGCTTGGGCATGACCAGTTAGTGACTACACAAGTGTGGGTTATGACAGGGACTGTGTGTGTGCGCAAGCATGTAGGCACAGCTGGCTGGCTCAGGACTGTTAAGAAGTGGTGTCTGATTGGCAGAGTTGTGGATGGGGAATTACTGAATGTGAGGTTTTGGTTTCCTGTGCAGTCAATCTCCTGACCCTGGCGTTAGCTCTCTGAGCCCTTCCTATTATGGGGACAGCAGCAGGAGTGATGTGCTCTCCCATCTTTGCTAAGAGCAAAAAAAGAAACCTCAGTAAGACTGAATGTCCCTGCAAAGCTTGTCCCCAACCTGTGCAATGACAGGTCAGAGATCTCCCTGACTTCTGGGTTGTGTGATGGCGTCAGGGAATGGAGTGGTGGTAATTGCAGTGACGAGACTCCTGAGTCGACAGAGAGTCATAGGGGCCCTGGAGTATTGGTCCTGCAGCCTGTATATGAGTAATCTTGGCTCATGTGAGCAGTCTGACTGAATCAGTGCCCTGCTTAGGCACTTACAGCTTGTAGGCTGGCCAGCATGGGTGGGCCTGTCTTGTTCTCAGAAGTAGAGTTCTGTTAAAAAAATTGGCCTAGTGCACCCAGTGGAGTCCAGGAGACCCTCTAGCAATGGTCATCTTCTAGCTGCCCCTGCAAATGCCTTTGCCTATCTCTGTCTGGATATACTGACCAGAGCACTGTCTGGGTCTCACCAACATCTGTGCACGAAAGCTCATCCCCACAGTGAGACACTGGTCGTATCCCTCATTTCCAGAGGACCCTGCATCATGGAAAGGCTCCCCGCAGCTGATGTTCGCAGCGACTGCCGAGCCCCCATCCTGCTCTCAGCCTCCATGCCTGTTCTTTCACCCCTCCAAAATCCAGCCATGTGACTGCTAGTCCTGCTGCCTGAGGAAGGTGCTGGCTCTAACAGTGGTAGGGAACCAGCAGCCCCTCAGACCGTCATTTTTGGCAGCGTGCAGCAGGCGGAGAGTGGGGTGTATTCGGAAGCACTTTGTCTATTGACATTAGTCTCTGCTGGGAGGCTGCGTGCTTTAGTGTTAGCAGTGGGACTCCTCCGTCAGTTGTGCTCAGCTCTCACCCTTCCACAGTCAATCAATGAGGGTTTGCCTGAGGAAAGAACAAGCAAACACCCGGAATTTGACCCTTTAACATTCCCGCCTTGTCTTTGCTGAAAGCTCTCAAAGGTGAATGTGTTAAAAGGGTTTTGAAAAGACACTTTCTCATCCCAATTTGTGGTTGTCAAACATGGGTAACCTGGATCAGCTCTGTGCACTTGGCCTCTCCTTCCAACCTGCATTTATTGGTGTTTTCACCACCAGCAAACACAGCCTCTGCTGCTCTGTCTGCAGTCGGCACACGCGTTGCTGCCTGCCTGGCTTCCGCTGCAAGCGGACTGGAGTTTGGTGCTACGAGTCAGCCCTGCAGCAGATTCCTGAGCCCACCGGCTCTTTCTTGGGACTGACAAGTCAGGGGGTTAGAGCTGGGGCCAGAGATGCAAAACTGATAGGCGACTTTCAGCTCCCATAGTATGAAATACTATGTTGTAGCCTCTTGGTGCTCTCAGACATGCTGGGGAGCCAGCAGTCGTTCCATCTAGCATTTAAATGTACCATCACTGGGTTGGCTGGAGGTGGAAAATGGGGCAGTCAGGGTAAATGATGTTGCCGTGCAAAACTATGAAAGAATTTAGGATATGGAGTGAACAGGCTTTTTCATATCCAGCTGAAGAAAAAGCCAGAGAGCACATTAGTCCAGGCTAAACACCACAGCCTCTACCTAGCACATCCAGTGAACTTTAATGATGACAAGTAGGTGGCATATAGATTTGCAGATCAAGGCTGCATGGTGCCCTCTGCCATTTCGCAGGGGCGTATGAATCTCGTGCAGTCGCAGCGTCGCAGCTTGCCGAATGAATCACTCCCTGCTTCCCATAGCAAATGAACCGTGACCAGCACGCAGCCTGTCCAGCGCCGAAGTCATTCCCCTCACAAATGACCCCCCCTTGGGTCACCGGGGCTGCCTTCCAACGCCTGGTTTGGCAGGGCTCCTTGCCCCCTGGCCACCGCATCTCTCCGTGTCCCTCCCCCTGCACCCCTCTTCCCCCACCCCGTACCCTGAGTCTAAAGGGGTGGAGTCATGCTGCTGAGTCCTGGAGCAGGCAAGGAGCCGTCACACATGGCAGGCAGTGCCAGGACACCTGGCATTCCGGCTGGGAGCAGAGAGAGGGATGTCTGGAGGCCTTTAAATCTGTAATGGGTTGACCCTGGCTGGAAACCAGGTGCCCACCAAAGAACCCTATCAACTCCCCTCCTCAGCTGGACAGGGAAGAGAAAAGGCAACAAAAGGCTTGTGGGTCGAGATAAGGGTAGAGAGAGATCATTCACCAATTACAGTCACAGGCAAAACAGACTTGACCTGGGGGAGAAAAAAAACCCTAATTTATTACTAGTCAAATTAGAGTAGTATAACGAGAAATAAAGACTAAATTTAAAAAGCACCTTCCCCGCACCCCTTCCTTCTTCCCAGGTTTAACTTCACTCCTGATTTTCTCTACTTCCTCCCCCCAAGCAGCACAGGGGAACGGGGTATGGGGGTTGGGGTCAGTTCATCACACGTTGTCTCTGCTGCTCCTTCCTGCTCAGGGGCAGGACTCCTCACGCTCTGCCCCTGCTCCAGTGTGGGGTCCCTCCCACGGGAGACAGCACAGTGAATGCTTCCCCCTTGCTCCTGCCACTGGAGTTGCTCAAGGTCTATCCAGGGCTGTAAAAGAGCTGGACAGGGAGGCATTTACGTTTGTCATTAATTACCCTTCTGAGAAAAATTATCCTTTCCAAGTGTCATACAGGTGATAGCAGCGTCCCCTAATGTCTTACTCCATGAGATATCCCTAGGAGCTTTCATCTGAGAAGAAAATCTACTTGTGGAGTAGCAGCTCTGTTGCAAAGGAGCAGGAAGGAGGAGGACCTTATGGAGGACCCCAGGTAAACATGAGCTTGCAGTGAAAACCACGTCCTGGGCTACATCAGGAGGAGTGCGGCTGGCGAGGCTGCTTGTTCTCCTCCTCTGCTTGGTGCTGCTGAGTCCACACCTGAAAGAGGGTCCTTTTTGTTCTCTCCATTCACGAGGGGTGCTGAAAAACATGTGGTTCAGTTGTGGAGCTGTGAGCCCACCTGTCCCAGCGAATGCTAGCCTGAGTAGCTCGCCTTGCAGTTTTAATTGGCCAGATGCCCCTCGGGCCCTCTTGGGCAAAACCTGCATGTCGCAGTGCCTTCCTGAGAAGAGGCGGCGTGTGCCTTCCCAGGGTCCTGCTGTGGCTACGTCAAGCTTTACTCCTGGTTTAAAGCCAGTGTAAATTATAGTCGCATCCAGCCGAAGGCTTCTTGAGCAGGGTGGAGGGATGCTCAGTGACTTCTGCGTGGTGGTGATCGGGCCCCGCAGAGACAGTGCTGCGCGTTTCCACAGCTGAGGGCATTCAGCACATGGGGTGGTGGGAGCTGCACATGGGGCGGCAGGAGCTACACCCGGCTGAGAGATCTTCCCCTTGCCAACTCGGAAGGCTGCTGCCGCTTCTCCTTGGGTAGTGATCTGTGTCCCTGTCCCCGGCAGGGATCATTGCCCTGCATACACCCGCAGCTCTGCCTGAGGGAGCCCTGGGCAGGAGCTGGACGTGACTGTGCACTTACCCATGTGCCTCCCACCGACCCTGCGACACATTCGGCAGCACTGGCCTCCCCCAGGAGTCCCCGTGCAGCTCAAGGTGACCTTGTCAAACGGCCTTTTTGGGTTGGCTTGCATGACCTGGAGAGCATCCCTCTGCTTGCTGTCCTCTGTGGCACTCCAGCCACGCTGTCAGACCGCAGGCTGCTCTTTGCACAGCTTCCCTCTTGAGTTTCTTGCTGTAACCCAGGTGCTTCCATTTCTGCTGGTCTGGTAAAAACTGTTCAACCAGGCTGCATGAGCAGTGCGGGGTAGGGAGGAGCTTTGGTATTTTACTATTTTATTTTATTTTACTTTATTTTCGTATGATTCAGATTCTTTTTCGCTGAGGCTACTTCTCCCTACTCTGTTAAATATGAGCATAAATAACTCTAATAAAGCCTCTTCCTATAGCCAGAGGACTGCAAAGAAGGGAAC